CTGGGCCAGGTTTGAACCCACCATCCTCGGTGTATGTGGCCAGCGCCCTATCCACTGAGCTATGGGTGCCACTAAATTTTTTTTATATTTTAAAACAGAGTCACACTCAGTTGCCCTGGGTAGAGTGCCATGGCATCGAAGCTCAGAGCAACCTCAAACTCTTGGGCTCAAACCTTCCTCCTGCCTCAGCCTCCAAGTAGCTGGGACTACAGGCACCCACCACAACCCCAGGCTCTTTTTTGGTTGCAGGTGTTTAGCTAGCCTGGGCCGGATTCAAACCTGCCACCCTTGGTGTATGTGGCTGTCACCAGCCACAATGTCCAGTTATTTTTTGGTTTTTTTTTTGAGATAGAGTCTCACTATGTCACCCCTGGTAGAGTGCTGTGGCGTCATAGCTCACACCAACCTCCAACTCTTGGGCTTAAGCAATTTTCTTGCCTCAGCCTCCCAATTAGCTGGGACTACAGGCACCCGCCACAACCCGGCTCTTTTTTTGTTGCAGTTGTTTAGCTGGTCTGGGCTGCGTTCAAACCCACCACCCTCGGTTTATGTGGCTAGTGCTACAGGTGCCAAGCCCATTATTGTTATTATTATTATTATTATTTTAAATAGGCAGGGTCTCGCTTTTGCTTAGGCTGATCTCAAACTCTTGAGCTCAAGCAATCCACCCGCCTCAGCCTCCCAGAGTGCAGGGATTACAGACATGAGACACCTCACCCAGTCTTAATAATTCCCTTGTTAAAGAGGAGGGATTTAGTCCCTTGCTCAGTATTCTCCCAAGTATTGCAATGAGAAGGCACCAGGCAACTTCATCAGCACTAGGAGTTAAAACAGATCCTACCTAGTCTGCTAACAGTCCCATTTCCTAACTGAGGAAATTGAGCTCCAAGAAGTGACCCTCATAAGATCAAAGACAGCTTGGGCAATGTAAGCTTCAGGCCTCAGCCTATTCCTGCTCTTTCCCAGGTGTAGTGAGGGACTTTCCAAGCCACTCCCAAGCTCCTCCCTGGTGCCACCTCCTGAGGCTGAATGATAAGCATCAGGAGGAGTGCCATGTCCTCCTTAGGGCCGGTTGTAAGTCCATCTGTTAAGATAGGGCAGATAAGCCAAAGAGCTCAAACTCAAAGGTTCCAGAGCCAGGAGGCTCTAAGCAAATATAAACTGGACCTGGATGGGTGCTAGGAAGTAGTGGGGACTACGATAGCTCCAGTGGCAACTCCTAGTCTGGCAGGGCAGTGGCTGGTACTTCTGGAATCCAAGCAGTTGGTAGCATAAGGGACAAAGACCCAGCAAGGAGATAATTCTAACAGCAGCCACCATGGGTGCAGGGTCCATGCACTCGGGGCACAATCAATCACTCATCTTTTCCCGGGGAAGGGTCCAGTTATCACCTTCATCTTGCAGGAAAGGAATCTGAGGCCCAGAAAGCCAACTCCACCAGGCTGAAATTACACAGTGAAATATGGTGGAGCCAGGGTATGGGCCCAGAGCCTGTGGGCTCCACCACTAAACTCAAAAGACCAATGTGTATTCCAGTACCATGGAAATCTGGATTTTGATGTGAAATCTAACTTTTAAACATTGGCAGCTCAATAAACACAAAGTTTTCTAAATGCCTAGCAGGTGAAATAAAAGACCCAGCAGGCAGTCCTCAGCCCCCAAGGCCACCAATCTACAAACCCCATTCTGCTCACAAGCAAACAGGGCAGAGAAAACTGGCCCCTTCCTATTCCAATCACATTTTTTTTTTTTAACACAGTTTCACTTTGCCACCCTCAGAGTGCCGCTCACCACGAGACGAGCAGGGTCTTGCTCTAGGTCAGGCAGGTCTCCTACTCCTGAGCTCAAGCAATTCACCATAACTGAGGGGAGTGGTTCATGCCTGTAATCCCAGCAGTTGGGAGGCTGAAGTGGGTGGATTGCCTGAGCTCATGAGTTCGAGACTAAGCAAGAGTGAGACCCCCGTCTCTAAAAAATAGTCAGGTCTTGTCGTGGTCACCTGGGAGGCTGAGGCAAGAGAATCGCTTGAACCCAAGAGTTTGAGGTTCCTGTGAGCTGAGATGCCATAGCACTCTATCAAGAGTGATTAAGTGAGACTGTGCCTCAAAAAAAAAAAAAAAAAAAGCAATTCACCTGCCTTAGCCTCCCAGAGTGTTAAGATTACAGGCATGAGCCACCGCACCCTGACCACATTCTTAGAAAATCCACAAGGAGGGGATTTTCTAAGAATGTGTTGAAGCCCTGGGTACAACGGGCCCTTGACATGCTCTCAGGTTCACACCTTGAAGTTAGCCAGGATGCCCACTGTACACATCTCCAGTGCCAGGGAGTAAACACGTTCTCCATTTGGTTTGGCCAAATTCACAAAAGGAAGTGGGGAGTTGGATTCAAACTGTGGCACTGAATTGATACTGTTAACAAGCAACTTCTGCAGTATAGGACTGTACAAGGTTGGACAGTAGTAGCTGATAGCTGTCAGATGCCAGGGTGGGCAGGAGAGAAGAGCAATGGTTAGAGGAAATGATAAGAGGTGGAGAAAGGAGATGCCTATATCCCCAAACCCAGGCCCCCAATTCCTCACTGAGCAGCCTTGGCCAAAAGCACTTTGCTCAGCACTCTGAACCTCGGTTTCCTGGTCTGTAAAATGGGAATCATAGCAATGCTACCTATATAGGCTTAAGTCAAAGTACTTTAACTGTGGCTAGCTTGGTCATCAATATGAAAGGAATAAGCTGGGTGAATAACAGTCCAGTCCACATAGGCCTACTGTGTGCCAGGTCCCGTGCTAAGCAATCACTTTCTTTTTTTTTTTTTTTTTCTTGAGACAGAGCCTCAAGCTGTCCCCCTGGGCAGAGTGCCGTGGCATTACAGCTCACAGCAACCTCCAACTCCTGGGCTCAAGCAAGTCCCCTGCCTCTGCCTCCCAAGTAGCTGGGACCACAGGCGCCCGCCACAACGCCCGGCTCTTTTTTGGTTGCAGCCGTCATTCTTGTTTGGCGGGTCCGGGCTGGGGATTCGAACCCGCTACCTTAGGTGTACGTGGCTGGCGCCTTAGCCGGTTGAGCTATAGGCGCCGAGCCAGCAATCACTTTCAAGGCACCACGTCACTGCATCCTTCCAACAGTCTTGCAATGGACCATCCACTGGCCCATTTTTAGGAGGGAAACTGAGGCTTTGAGAGGTCAAACAACCTGTGCAAAGTCACAAGGCCAATACAATAGAGCTTTGCAGATGCCCCCACCAGAAGCCTGGCTAGAAAGGATGACTGCCACTCAGAGGGGATCACAGCCCAGCCTGAGATCAGGCCAGGCACTGCTGACCCCAAGTCCACACCTTTCCACCAGAGTAGTCAGAGGGCAAAGAGCCAGAGCCAAATATGTAAAGAAGGAAATTCACGCTGCTGAGAGCAAAACTTCGAAGGCTCTGGATGGCAGGAACAGGGCTATACAACCAGGCGGGCTGGACACCCAGCCAGTCTCTGCCTTGCACCAGCCTGGTGGCCTTGAGTGAACACCAAGTCCTTTCAGAGTTCCTTCCTTCTGGCTCATCTCCAAGGTAGGGATGATAAAACAGAACTCTTTCTCCCTACTCATTCATTGTGGGATTCCAGATGCCCAGCCAATAAAGATGCAGTCTAGGGCTTGCCGGATGAACAAGACCCCTAATCACTGATAAGCACAGTAATAACAATAACAATGAGGACAAGGAGGAGGAGGCCATCATTTGGTAGCCACACCTTCACAAATGGAGTACTTCCTGGAATGGAGAAGTGGCCGCCCATCCAAGAGATAGGGAGGCAAGAGGCAGGGCAAAGGGGAGGAGAAGACTGTTCTGGTTCATCTGCTTCCTGAATCCTGGAGATAGCCCAGAGAGTGGAATTTGTGCACTGGACAGATGGGCACACTGAAGATTCTCAGGGCTAACCCAGGGAAGGCTACATCTCAGCTCTTCTCATTGAGGCCTGATCAGGCAAGAAAACCCCTTTCCAGGCTGCAAGGAAGGCCTCTGACTCATAGGCTGCAGCTGGTGGTTGGGCCCTGTGTTCCCTGGAGCACCCTGACATGGACTAGGAAGGAATCTTGGAGAAAGTGCCCCCCAAGTTTCTACTTCGAACTGGACAAGGAAAGTGGGGGGTTCAAGTTTTATCCTTTAGCTCCATACTCTCCTCCACCTTCTCCCCACCTCCTGCCAGGAAAGTTGGGCTAGACAGTCAGGAGCAGTGATGAGCAGACTAGGAGATGAACAGACACTAAAGCAGATGAATAGACAGAAGGATTCACTTGTAAGAGAGGATCCAGCGTTAAGCAGGGACCAAGCAGAAGAGTCAACCTGAGAAAACCCAACAACAGCGTCCCTTAGGGTTCAGCCAGCCAGCCCCTCAGACAGTGGAGGCCGGTAGGGAGCACCGGCCCTACTAACTACTTAAGTCTGTAAAAGGCAAGCATGGACGCCCAGAGAGCAGAGGTCATCCCAGGTGACTAGTCACAAACCAAGGGACCGCCAGGTGGGTCTGGACAGATGGACAGCCAAATGGTGGGGGTAGGAGGGTACCAGCTCAGGACACAACCATAACCAACCAGACAACGGAGGCTGCTTCCAGATTAATGAATATCCAGCCAGACGGCAAGGGTCACCCTGATAGATATCTAGGTGGCAGGTTTCACGCCATCAGACAACCAAACAGAGAATAGGGATCAAACTCTGACCCACAGGCAACCAGATGGCACATTTCATCCACAAAAGCTGAGACAAGACAAACGGCAAGGGTCCGCTGCACCTCTTGTCTCACGGACCTGGAGCCGTGAGACCGCTCCGGGGGCCTGCAGGAAGACTTCCTACCAGGGCGACACACAGGGCCCTCCGGCTGTCTCCGTCCCTGTCGCGGCCACGCAAGCGCCGCAGTTACGCCGGTGGCGCAGGACGCGCCATTCCCAGTCCGTCCTCCGCGCCCTAGGCCGCCGTCCGCCCGCCCGCCCACAGTCCCTGCTGCGCTCGCTTACCGTCCCACAAAGTTCTCTAGCACCGAGCTCTTGCCGGCGCTCTGGCCGCCCACCACCGCGATCTGCGGTAGGTCCAGATGGCAGCTCTGGCCGATGGAGCTGAAGGCGTCCTGAAGCTTGTTCACCAGCGGGATCAGCTCTTCCATCCCGCGGTTGCCCATGGCGCCAGCGGCTCCCGGCCCGAGCGCCCGGCGCTCCTCGCCGCCCCAGACCCCGACCCCCAACGACCCGGCCCCGCGGCAACTACGGCCGTTGCTCCCCGCCCGCCTGGGCCTCGGCGCGACGCCCACTCCCGGGTCGGTCTCACAGTCGCCGCCTCATCCGGTTCTCTGGCGACACCCGACTAGAGCAACCTCCCGCCCCGGGCCTGAGGATGCACCAAAAGACCTCACGTTGCCTTCGATTAGTCGACGGTGCTGCCACTCAGAGACAAGACCCAATCAAAGAGAGGTACGGCCCTATGGCTGAGTAAGCCTTCCCACTGGGGTCGGTCTCAAGGGCTCTTTGGACGGTAGAACTGTCACTATTGTGCAAAAACCAATAGCGGCGGATATCTATTTGTCAACGCCAGTAGGCGGTGTTTCAAGAGAAGACATGTTGGTTCCGCCCATTTGCGGATATCCATGTCTTATTGGCAGAAAGACCCGCCAGTCAAAAACGTTGGCCAATAGCGTTAGGAACTAATCCTTACTGATTTGTCACTTGACACTAGTTTCCTAAGAATTTCCCCTTGGTTTATATAAGTATCACTTCGTTACTCCAGCCAACAAGGCGAAGAGGTCAGATTTTTAACATCAGAATCTTGACTCTGAAGACCTGTATCTGTCAATCAGAAAAAGTCCCGTTCGTCCTTGTGATAGTTGGATGTATGTAACTGTCTTCTGAAGTGCAGGATGAGGCTCACCGTACTAGCCAAAGGGCGACACCTCGTGGTGAATCACGGTCATTGTCTCGTCTGGGTTTTCCGACTCAGGAGGAAACCGCAAGTCCCAGAATGTATCTCTGCTTCCGGCCTGCAAACGTGCTCTGGGAGCGTGGACGCAACGCACTTTAAGGAGGGGTGCTGGTGTTTGTTTTTCTTTCTTTCTTTCTTTCTTTTTTTTTTGAGACGGAGTCTCACTTTGTCGCCCTCAGTAGAGTGCTGTAACATCATAGCTCACAGCAACCTCAAACTCTTGGGCTTAAGCAATCGTCTTTTTTTTTTTTATTATTAGATCATATTTGTGCACATTCTATAATGGGATACAGTTGTGTTGTTTACATATACAATTTGAAATACTTTCATCCAATTGGCCAACATAGCCATCATGTCATTCTCATAATTGTTAAGACATTTATATTCGACGTTTAGAAAGATTCACATGTACCCTTATAGGAAAAAATCATAGGCGTGATCCCCGCAATCACCCTCCCTTCCCCCCTCCCTCAAGCAACCCTCTCGCCTCAGCCTCCCGAGTAACTGGGACTACAGGCACTTGCCACAATGCCCGGCTGTTTTTAGAAGCGAGGTCTCGCTCTGAATCAGAATGGTCTCTAACCTGTGAGCTCAAGCAATCCACCCGCCTCGGCCTCCCAGAGTACTGGGATTTCAGGCGTGAGGGCCCGGCCCATACTGGTGTTCCTTCCTTACCGTAACAACTTCACGCGGTGCAAATGTTACCCATTCTGCTAACGTGACTTTCCAACATTGTTCCCCTGCCTCTTCAACCTTAGCGCACCATGAATTTTTTTTTTTTTTAAGACAGTCTCACTTTGTCACCCTCCGTACAGTGCTGTAGCATCACAGCTCACAGCAACCTCCAACTATTGGGCTTAAGTGATTCTGTTGCCTCAGGCTCCCAAGTAGCTGGGACTACCACAATGCCTGGCTATTTTTTGGTTGCAGGTGTCATTGTTGTTTAGCAGGCAGGGGCCAGGCTCGAATCAGTCAGCTTTGGTGTATGTGGCCAGTGTACTACTCACTGAGCTATGGGTGCCGAGCCAATTTTTTCTGAAGATAGTATCAGACTCTGTCTAAAAAAATAAAAAACGCATTTCGCTCCGTCCCTCAGTTCTCTAGGCTGGAGTGCTATGGCACCCTCATACCTCACTACCAACTCACGCCCCTGGGCTCAAATGATACTACTATCTCAGCCCATTGAGTAGGTGGAATTACAGACCCAAGTCACCGCACTCTACCAATTTTTCTTACTTTTTGCAGGTAGAAAGTCTTACTGTATTGCTCAGGCTAATCTGAAATTCCTGGGCTCAAATGATCCTTCCTCTTCAACTACCCAAAATGCTGGCATTAATAGAAAAAATTATCTTATTTACTGGGCCTGGTCATCATTTACTGGGTGATTGCTATAGTCTTAATGCTTGTGATTCCCCTCCCCTCCCAAGACTCCTATGCTGAAACCCAGTTCTTAAGGCAATGTTATTTGGAGGTAGGACCTTTGACAGGTAATTAAGTCATAAGGCCAGAGCCCCAATAAATGTGATTCAGGCTCTTATAAAAGAGACCCCAGCCAGAAAGCTGAGTTGCCCCTTTGACACTCTTAGATTACCATGGGTGAAAAAGATGGAATCATGAAGCAGGTCCTAACAAGTCACTGAATTGGCTGGCCCTTAGATCTGAATTTCCCAGGCTCCAGAACTGAGAGAAATAAACTTCTGTTATATTTTACTTTTTTTTTTTTGTTTCATTTGGAACAGAGTCACTCTGTTGCCCAAGCTAGAGTGTAATGGCACCAGCCTGGCTCAGAGCAACCTCAAACTCCTGGACTCAAGTGATCCTTTTACCTAGGTTTCCTAAGTATCTACTTTAGTAGAGATAGGGTCTCGCTTTTCCCAGAGAGACAGAATCTCTCTTTGTCGCCCTCAGTAGAGTGCTGTAGCATCACAGCTCATATCAATCTCTAGCTCTTGGGCTTAGGTGATTCTCTTACCTCCCAAGTACCTGGGACTATAGGCACCTGCCATAACACCCAACTATCTTTTGTTGCAGTTTTGCAGGGGCTGGGTTTGAACCAGCCATCCTTGGTATATGGCGCCAGCGCCTTACTCACTGAACCACAGGCACCACCTGGGTCTCACTCTTCCTCAGGCTAGTCCTGAACTGATCTCAAGTAATCCACCCACCTCACCCTCTTAGAGTGCTAAGATTACAGGCCTGAGCTAGCACTCCTGGCCTTTCCTTTTCTTTTACTTTTTAGAGACAGGGTTTTGTGGGCTTTTTTTTTTTTTTTTTTGAGACAGATTCTCACTCTGTCACCTTCAGTAGAGTGCCATCATGCATCACAGCAACCTCAAACTCTTGGGCTTAAGCGATTCTTTTGTCTCAGCTTCCCAAGTAGCTGGGACTACAGACACCCACAATGCCCGGCTATTTTTTATTGCAGTTGTCATTGTTTAGCTGGCCTGGGCCAGGTTTGAATCTGCCAGCCTTGGTATATGTGGCTGGCGTGTAACCACTGTGTTATGGGCACTAAGCCTAGAGACAGGGTCTTTGCTGCCCAGGTGGGAGTGCAGTGGCAGAAGCACAGCTCACTTCAGCCTTGTACTCCTGGGCTCAAGAGATCCTCCTGCCTCAGGCTCCTGAATAGTTGGGACTATATAGCTATACTACCACACACAACTAATTTATTTTTTAATATTTCTGTAGAGATGTTTCACTGTGTTGCCTAGGGTGATCTGGAACACCTAGCCTATAGCAGTCCTCCCACTTCAGTCAGACACAGTCCTGGGATTACAGGAATGAGCCACCACACCCAGCCAATTTGTTGTTTATAAGCCCCCTAGTTTATAACCTTTTTTCATAATAGCCAAATGGACTAAAGTTGTGATAATGACCAAATAATTTAATTTATCTGACCCTTAGTGTCCTCCTCTCTAAAGTTGGAACATAATTATACATGCCTCATAAAACTGCAAGAATTAAGGTCAGGCATGGTGGCTCATGCCTGTAATTCTAGCACTCGGGGAGGCCTAGGCAGGTAGACTGCCTGAGCTTAGGAGTTTAAGACCAGCCTGAGCAAAATGGACATCCCATGTCTACTAAAAATAGAAAAAAAAAAAATATCCAGGCACTGTGCTGGTCACCAATAATCCCAGCTCCTTAGGAGGCTGAGGCAAGACGATTGCTTGAGCCCAAGAGTTTGAGGCTGCTGTGAGCTTTATATCATGGCACTCTACCCAGGGTGACACAGTAAGACTCTGTCTCAAAAAAAAAAAAAAAAAAAAAAATACACATGAGAGCTATTTAGAATGGTACCAGGCACAGTGTGGACACCAACTAGATCACACCTATTGTCATCACTATTTACTGAGAGTGATATAACGAAGCCACTACCTCTTGATGTTAAAGACCTTGGATGAGGACTTCCCCTCCCCAGGCCTGATTCCTCATTTGCAAAAATGGGGAAGACAGCTGTGGCCACTTGCAGAGTCACTGGGGCACCTGGGCCACAGGAAAAGGGAAGCAACTCCCACTCAGGGGGCACATGCTGGGCTGTCCTTGGTGGTTTCTGGTCACCAGCTCCTGCCATGCTTGTTATCAGTGTTCCCAACTGCAGGGATGCTCAGGCCAGGTAGGGGACCAAAACAGGCCACCTCCCCAAGAAGACACAGATACACTCTTTAAGTTAGAATTAAAAAACTTTCCAAAAAACAAAAACATCCTTTGATAACTTCCAGCCCCTTCCTCCCTTCCCTGATGCCAAGTCAGTCCAGTGTGATTCCTACAGAAGCGAGGGCTTCAGTGGCCCAGGTGGGACAGAGGGAGGGGTCCCCATACATGGTACCCATGAAGTCACGTACAAACTCAGGGAAGCGCTTCTCCACGATGCTGGTGCGCACGTCGCTCATCAGGCGCAACTGCAGGGATAGGGGAGTCAGGGTCAGCAACTGGTACTCAGAAGGCCAGTGCCCCCCACAACCCTTTCCTGTCCTGGGGGCACTGGACCACCTGGTAGGCGATGTTGTGCACAGTGAGGTGGTGCAAGGCGGCCGTGTTGTCACTGTGCAGAAGCGCATGTAGGAATGCCCGGCTGTGCCTACAGACAAGGATGAAGGGTGCAGCTCAGCAGGAGGCATGGTTCAGCGCAGCCAGCCCTGCCCCCTCACCCCAGCCCTCCCAACCACCACCTGGCCTACTTCTGGCAGGTGGGGCAAGTGCACTCTGGGTCTATGGGACCAAAGTCCTTTTCAAACAGCTTCTTCTTCAACTGTAGGTTCCCAGTGGGCACCAGTGCAGAGCCAAAGCGCTAAGGGAGAAGGGGGGGAAAGGCTGGTCATATAGGTTTCTACTCTCCCTGTCCTACACCCACTTTAGCCCCAACCCCCCACCCTATCCCACTGTCTACCAGTGCCCAGAGCCTCACCGCCGTCCGCGTGGGGAAGACACAGTCAAACATGTCACATCCAAGAGCAACACAAACCACCAGATCAGTGGCATAGCTGGGGAGAAAAACAGAAAGCCCCTAGCCTTGAGACTAGCCTTGAGACTGGTCTTCCTAGGCCCCCTCCCCAAACTAACTCCCCTGGACTGGGCCTCATTTTCATAGAACTGGCCCCATGGGACAGCCACGTGCTCCTTAGTCTCCCCTCCAACCAGGACAGGCATCCCCACAAAACCACATTCCACAGGAAGTGCTCTGCCTCCCTCTTGACTTACCCTACCCCCATGAGGTATCGGGGCTTGTCCTTAGGGAGGCGGGAGGTACTCAGAGCCACCATCTTCCAAAACTGGGCTTTGCTCTCACCCCCACTCAGGCCACCAATGGCAAAGCCAGGCACATCCCTCTTGGTCATCTCTGGGGATACAAGTAAGATGAGGGGTGACCAGACAAGAGGAAATGTGCCTTGTCCTCATCCCCAAGGCCACAGTCCCTCAGGAAGAGATACAGAAAGAGAGACCCAAAGACAGTTGGTCTGTCTAGGAGAAGGTCCCCTCATGATATGAGCTTCCATTTATTGAGTGACTAATGTATGCAAGACCCTCCCCATGAACCGTCAACAGAGGTACTCCTTTAGCTGAAACCTTTGGAACCAAAGTGAGTTTTAGAATTTTCCCAATTTGAGAATAATGAACATCTCATAAACACTAATATTTCTGCAACAGAATATGTGAGGCTTCTAAGGTACTGTGGCTCATGCCTCTGCTCAGGGAACCAAGACAGGAGGATAACTTAAGGCCAGACTGGGTGGCTCAACCGGCTAAGGCACCAGCCACATACACCTGAGCTGGAGGGTTCGAATCCAGCCTAGATCCGCCAAACAACAACGACGGCTACAACCAAAAAATAGCTGGGCGTTGTGGCGGGTGCCTGTAGTCCCAGCTACTTGGGAGGCTGAGGCAAGAGAATCACTAAAGTCAGGAGTTAGAGGTTGCTGTGATCTGTGATGTCACAGCACTCTGTAAAAAAAAAAAATTTTTTTTTTTTTTTGTCCCGGGCTGGGTTTTGAACCT